CATATGCGTGACATTTCAGCTCAGATGTGCGCAGCGACGCGGACCGCACATCCTTTCCCACCCCGTCGGTCCTGCGAACCCGCCACCGCGTCTTCCTGCCCGCAGACGTCAGCCGGGCCAGCGGGCAAGGAGCCGTTGAATCGTGCAGGCGGCGCACACGCCCGCTCAGCCGCGGCTTCCGTGCCAACCCACAAAGTAACGCCCTCCGCTTGACGGGAGCCAGCATTTCATCAGGAAGCATCGGCGGCTGGGGACGCGGCGAGCCGAGAGCGGATGCTTCATCGCAACCGCGTCCCGGACTTGACAGGCGCGACCAGCCGCGCGTCCGCCAGGCCCCGCTGGGAAGACGCGCTCAGGGCGGCGCGGGGATGGGAACAGCGCCCGGCTCGCGCTCTGCTCCGGGGGAGGGAGGCGCTCACATCGCACTCCGGGCTCCACGTGCAGAAGCAGACGCGCTTGATCTGTTCGCAGCATTTGAGATCAGCGTGACGGCTGGGGAGTCTGGCTCTGGGTCTCCCTGAGTCCAGCAGGCAGCAGAGTGCGGGTGGCGTGGGGCTCGCCGGCCCAACGCCCCTCATGGCTCTCAGCTCGGCCGAGCCTGCGGGGTTGTGGCTCAGACCTAGTCCCTGTCTTTCCCTTTTTTTTTTTTTATAATGTTTTTATTGATTCCAGAGAGGAAGGAAGAGGGGGAGAGATGGAAACATCCATGATGAGAGAGAATCATGGACCAGCTGCCTCCTGCACGCTCCACACTGGGGATCCAGCCGACACCCCTGGCCTGGGCCCTGCCCGGGAATCGAACCCTGACCTCCTGGTTCCTAGGTCCATGTGCAGCCATTGAGCCCCGCCGGCCAGGCCTAATCCCTGTCTTTATATTTGCGTCATTCTTGGACTCCATGTGGCCGAAGTCTAATCCGTCAGGGATGGATTTATGGCACCGTGTGTGTGTGTGTGTGTGTGTGTGTGTGTGTGCTCGTTTGTGATATACGTGGCTCTGGAAACACATGGCCTCCGAGAAATTTTCTCGAGGTTGGCGCCCACTGCTGTGCACCATGTTAAATGTGAACCACAAAGAGCTAAGATCCCAAAACCACTGCAGGTGCCCTTGCTCGCCCTGCTTGGGACATGTGCACCATTTTGTGAGTAAACACACACTTAACTATTTAAAATGATGTCAAGGTCACCCCTTGGTTTCCTCTTGCATGAGGTTACCGAACAAATAATGCACCGAGTCCATTTATAGAGCCATACATTCATGCGATCTGTACACACACCAGCCAGTGGCGTAAATTAGTTCACAGAACTCTCCATTCTTGGTGCCCAAAGAGGGTGCCCATGTTGGAGCACCTCACTCGACGCTACAACAAAACCGAGTGGGGAGGAGCAGCAGTGTCCGGGTTCCAGGAACCCTTCTCGGCGGGCTCTGTCTCCCCCGGGTCAGCGTGTCAGCACCGGCATTTCCCCCCAACTCCCCTCTGAGGCGGTGCTTACGGGCCTGTTCCGTTAAGCTGCGCTGTCACCGGTAATTGTTTTAAGCAGGGCCTCCGCACAGTCCAAAGGAAAGGTGAGCGGCTGGCATTTGCAAATGTCAGGGATTATCTTAACACTTTTATTACAGTTTATAAAAAAGCAAGTCCGGGCCGTTTCGTGGCAATTATTTCTACAGAAATTGGTTCTTTAAATAAATTGCTGATGATCTGAAGATGACAGTATTGAAAACGCTGCTAATGAGTGGATTAATCAGTGTAGCGTGTGGTGGCCACCTACAGGTGGGAAGCGGAAAGAACACAGAGACTAATGAGCTCCAGATATCACGTGTGAATGCCATGTTTCCCCATCCAGTGACATGCTTACAGGCATGTATTTCTTCATGCAAGCTTCTGATTCCTGGACACTGTAGTTCATTTCTGCATTTTTCATAGGTTGTGGTTTTGTTCTAAGTCAAGTTTCACTCTGCATTCATGATTACCTTTGTCCTATAACCCCTGGGTATGATTGTCATTCTAACATCATCCAAACTGGGACGCTTTTAGAGTGAAAGAGGATGCTATTTATAAGCACATCCTGTAATTATGAATACATACGGGTATGATGGACTTGGACGTCCTCTCTCTAGGACATACAGTTATAGCAATTACTAGCTCCCATCGCTTTAATATAATCCCTTGCCACTAATTAATACTAGAACATGAATATTCTTGATCTTATCATACATGGACAACATATATTTATTAGTTATAAAGATTAACTCCTCTCTCTAACTTAACTTTACAAGCATTTAAAATAGGGAAGAAGCTGGGACCGGTTTGGCTCAATGGATAGAGCGTCGGCTTGGGGACTGAAAGGTCCCGGGTTCGATTCCGGTCAAGGGCATGTACCTTGGTTGCGGGCATATCCCCAGTAGGGGGTGTGCAAGAGGCAGCTGATCGATGACTCTCCCTCATCGATGTTTCTGACTCTCTATCTCTCTCCCTTCCTCTCTGTAAAAAAATCAATAAAATATGTTTTTAAAAAAATAATAATAAATAAAATAAAATAAAATAGGGAAGAAGCGTGGCATTGTGGTTAAGAGCATGGCACTGCAGAAATGAATCATGAACACTTTTTTACCTAAAAGAGTCAATAATAGGAAGTCTAGTTATCAGGATGGAAGTGCGTCTTCGACCTATCCCAGGCAACCACAACCGTCTAAATCTCGACCTTCTCCCGATCTGTGTCCCCACAGAGGATGTGCATGCACTCTCTCCACCACAATGGGGCCGCGTCACGTGTATTTTTCTTTAATGTCGAATCCCAGAGATCCTGGCAGGCCCCTGAAAGGTTCCCTGGGACGTCATACACAGAGGAACTAGGATTTATGTGATGGTGATGGATTGTGCAGGTGGCTTTCACGGCTTTGCTGTAAAAACAACACTTTCGGGGAACATCTTTGCACATGTCACTCCGTGTCTGTGCGAAGGAACAGATTCCCAGAGCCGAGTCTCTGGGTGCGGGGCTGCCCCCCTAATCCTGCAGGAGCCCCCTAACCACGTGCCCCGCACCAACTGCCTTATCGTCACAGCGAACTGTGTGCTTTTAGAAATGAAATGACCTGGGAATGCAAGCTCCCCGAATTTAAAACCTAGGAGTTAACACCCCTTGGGTGACACACGTTTCCCCCCACATGTGTCCACGGCTGGATGCGCTTCCGGTCCCTTCCTCCGGCTTCGAGAGCAGCATCAGCTGGTGGAACCGGTGAGCCAGGTGCCGTGCCGAGGGCTGTCCACAGATTGTGCCCGTTAACTGTCTGAGCTGCTCTGTGTTATTGTCATGATGTCCCCGTGTCACAGGGAGGGAGAAGGATGTATGAGTGACAGAGAGCCAAGACTCACCCTGAAGGGGCGGGACTTTGCATCCTGAGCTCTGAGCGTGGCCCCGGGCGGCCAAAACCAGTTTCCTGGGACGTGACAGCCTCCAGGGCACAGCGTCCTGCGGGTGAGATGACGCGGGCCAGTGCAGCCCCCATCCCGGCGTCTGGCCCTCCATGGACCGGTGCTCTGAGCCGTCCACGCACAGCAACAGAGAAAGTCTTGGAATAGTCAGCAAACATGGAGACCTTCCACAGAACAACTGCAGCTTTTCTGGTGGTCCCAAAACACACAGCTCTCCTCTGCCTCCACTTTGGTGTTCATGCCTCTACATATGGCAGAAGCCTGCGTGCATCCCCTTGGAGCTCCAGTTTGGGGTGGATTGTGCTGTTTTTCTCAGAGGGCTCTCGTCCGTGTGTAAATGTGTATTTTTTTAAATAGCTGAGTCTCGAGTATCAGTCTGGCAGGTTCACTGCCACGTTAAGCTGGAGTCAGTAAAGTAGACCGTTTTTAGCACTTGGTTAACCTGCGTTGTATCGAAATCAGACTCGCAACTCCCCACTCCTTGGAATTCTTGATTCGCTAATATTTCTTTCTTCTGGATGATGCTACAGCTCTTACCAATTAGACCGCCCAAGCTCAGTTTCTAACCAAGTTGTAGGCAGATTACACTGCATTTTCTCCGCGTGCACGCGTGGGCAGGCGTTATGGCCCGTCCCTGCTTCCCCGCTGCCCGCAGCTGCCGTCGGGAGGGTTCTGTGGCCTCGCACCGGCGATCACCGTGTGGCAGTGGCTGTCCCAGACCTCACATGCTTGGGGGGGGGGGAGGGACAGAATTACACTCGATGGTTACACGTCCAGTTACCCGGCATTAGCATCTGCCCATTCACTTCCTTTCCTCGTCAAGGGCTCCGTCATGCCAAGTGAGGCTCCGTGACCCGGCGTTCTCGTGTTGCCATGAAAACCCGTGGCTGCCGGTTTAGTGCGCGGACCTTTGGACTCTCAAAACTTTTTTTTTTTTTTAGTTTTATTTTTTGTGTTTATTTATTTATTTTATTATTGATACTATTACAGATGTCCCTCCACATATCCCCCTTTAGCCACCTCTACCAGATTCTCAAATTTAAAAAAGACATACATTGAGGTTTGGCCTGCCAGCGTGGCTCAGTGCTTGAGCATCAACCGATGAACCAGGAGGTCACAGGTTCCTGGTCAGGGCACAGGCCCCCGAGTTGCACGCTTGATCCCCAGTGTGGGGCGTGCAGGAGGCAGCCGCTCAATGACTCTCTCTCCCATTGATGTTTCTCTCTTTCTCCCTCTCCCTTCCTCTCTGAAATCAATAAAAACTGAGAAAAATTAAACACGAGGTGCCTGAATGTGCCACGCCCTCTCCTGCACGTCACTGTGGTAAATCACATTGCATGTGCACCTATTGTCTGCGAGATCACTCTGCTCATTTGCATCACACGTCTTCACACCATCGTAGTCTCAACGTTCCTTAAATAAACACACCTCCTCTCCAGATGGACGGACTGGGGAACATAGCGCTGTGTTCCATGTGTGCCTTCCGCAGAGACGGGAACTCGGCTCTGTCCAGCACAGGACGGCATAGCTAGTGGTCAGCGTGCTAACCATCGACCTCTCTCTCTGCAGGCACGGCCATCCGGCCCATCGCCCTGCGGGCCGTGACCGCCATCGCGCGCGCCCTGCCCGGATTCCCCATTTTGGCCACGGGTGGGATCGACTCGGCTGAGAGCGGCCTTCAGTTCCTCCACAGCGGAGCGTCCGTCCTGCAGGTATCACCGGAGTCCGCGCCCCCTGCCCTCCCGGGGTCCCAGGGCCTCTGTGTGTGAAGCTCTCCCCCTGACGCTCCGGCCAGGTGGCTGGTGCCGTTCTAAGTGTTTCTCTGGCAAGAAAAGAACTGTCGGACCCAAAAAAGACGGTTGGCACTCGGAGCCTCCCGCAGGCCTCCCTCCCCGCGTTTCTAGACATGACGCTGGGTTTGGTGCCCACAGTTCTGCTCGGGACGTGTGTCCGTGCCTGACCGCTCTCCCCAGTCAGTTTGGAAAGGACGCTGAGTTTTGGCTTGTGATGATGATGGCGTTCTGGGGCAAGGCCACTCGAGTTCTTGAATGGCCTCTCTCCGCCCGCGCTATGATCTTATTCTGACGGGTCCTGATGAGACTTCCAGATGTTTCCGGGCTACGTGGGGACCATTCTTTTGACATGCACTGCGTCTTTCTGCTTTGGGGCAGTGATTTCTTTTTGCAATGACAGCAAGCCCAACCTACAGCCTGGTGTCCCGGCGCTCACAAGGCCACCCTCGGCCTCAAGCTGGGTCATCACCCCACAACTCACAGCAAACTGGGCCCTCCGAGGTGACCTTGCCGAAAGGACCCAGTGCTCATGCTGGTCCTGGTGTTTCTGTGTATCGTGTGAGTGTGTGAGAGTGTGTGTGTGTGTGAGAGAGAGAGAGAGAGAGAGACAGAGAGAGAGAGTGTGTGTGTGTGAGAGAGAAAGAGAGAGTGTGAGAGAGGGAATGTGTGTGAGAGAGAAAGAGAGAGTGTGAGAGAGGGAGTGTGTGTGTGAGAGACAGAGAGAGAGAGAGAGAGAGAGAGAGAGAGAGAGAGAGAGTGAGTGTTACATGGCATCAGAGTTACAGTTCAGGTTTGGAGACAGGGACGTGAGTTGTTACAGATTCTAATTACAAGTTAAAAGTCATCTCACTGTAGGAAATTAAAAATGGAGACAATTAGAGAAACATTCCAGTTGAAAGAAAAATGCATTCTGGGAAAAACAAGAAAATCCCCCGATAGAAAAGCAAGCTCCCCCCTCACAGCCCCAATGAGTCCGGGGCGGATCGATGGCATCAGCTGGCGCGTTGCCAGGCAAGCATTAATTTGCAATTATGCAATGACCGGCTCCTGCAGGGCCGACCTTTGACACAGTGACCTTCTGCTGAGAAACTCTGTGGTCGTTATTTTTTTTTTTAATATGGTTTTATTGATTCCAGAGAGGAAGGGAAAGGCAGAGATAAAAACATCAGTGATGAGAGAGGATCACTGACCAGCTGCCTCCTGCACGCCCCCTACCAGGACCGAGTCTGCAACCGGGGCTTGTATGTTTTTAACTAAAGTAAATAAAAGTCTCCTAAACATTTCCTTCTAAGGCAAAACAACCCTGAATGTACTAGCCTTTAAAACCAGGCTCATCCATTTGTTTCCCTAACTGGTCTTCAGATATTCAGGAGATTGGGCCTTTCTGTGGCGTTAGGTCTCCTGTCCATTTAAGGATTTCATGGCTGCTGGATCCTTCGAAGCTTTCAGACCTGATTCCCAGTGAAGCACCTCCCATCCCCGTTCACTGGCCCCGCCCCGTTCACTGGCCCCGCCCCATTCACTGGCCCCGCCCCGTTCACTGGCCCCGCCCCGTTCATTGGCCCACAGAATCAGGACAGAAAGACACGGCTGCTGTGGGCCTCGCCTGTTGAATCTGACACATCTGACCGAGCACCCAACGGGTCGCGGAGGTAAAATCTGGGGCACGCAAACATAAGCCTTCGTTTTCCCCAAATCAATCACGCCGAGTTTGTGAGAACGGAAGGTAATCGGACTGGGTCGGAACGTCCACAGCGACAGGCCACCGGCTGCCCTCGTCAGCGCCTGTGCTGGTGCGGACCCGGACAGGTTTGGTTGTCACGCTCCAAGGCGTGAGCGTAACCTCATTACCGTCTCCCCAGTCAGCCAGTGAGCCTGGACATTCACTCCCTCCTATGCCCCCGGCCCCGCACGGGTAGGAGGGGAGAGCCGGGAGCTCCGTGGCCAGGCCCACCAGGCCTCGCGCGGCCCGGTCCTGCAGAGGGACGCTGAGACGGTGCTGCAGTCATCGGCCGGATGCTTCCAAAACTCCCAGTGACAGGAGCCATGAAGAGAGTCTAAAAAGCAAGGCCCCTCCAGGGCACGGGGAACATCCCATGATGAGGTAGTTTCCCACATCCCAGCGACAGGACATCGCCCATCGCTTTATTTACAGCGTGACGTGTTACAGACGAGACTGAAAAGAAAAAACACACAAAATCCTGCCTCTCCCGTATTTCTCTCTCCTGTACCTCACACACACAGTCCAAAGCAGTCATTGACGTGAAGCCCCGGGTGCGGGGATTTGTGGGAGGGGCGGGAGGGTCAGGTGTGAGTTCCTGCTCCCAGGCCGAGCCATTGAGCTCAGCCCTCCTCGGTCACACATCCCCGCTCCCGGCGCACCTGTGTGATGAGCTAATTGTCTGCAACATGCAAGCGGCCGCCTGGTCCCGGGCTCCGCCTGGTCCCTGACCTCCGACGTAGCCAGCGTGGGAAGAAAGAGCCCTGGTCTCCCACGAAGACGTGCAGCGAGGAGCCGGGGAGGTTGTTCTCGCTGCGAGCGAGCCCCCGGGCGCACCTGAGGGCCGCCGGCAGCCACCTGCAAACAGCAGCTCTCCCTGGCTCTCCCCCCTCCCCCGGCTCTCCCCCCACCTTCCAGACCGCCCCCTCCGGCAGCCATGGAGGCAGACCTCGGCCCGGGCTGAGCGGCAGCTTGAGAAAAGGCGGGGGGTGCCCAAGGCTCCGAAGGAAGTTCTGCGGGAGAGAGAATCGAGGAATGTGTGGGTCGCTTTTGAGAAATAAAGATTTTCTTTTTTTTTTTTTTTGAAGAAACGATATTTTAAAAAATTGCCTAGTGAGCCCGGCCGGCATGGCTCAGTGGTTGACCGTCGACCTCTGATCTAGGGGGTCACACAGTTCAGTTCCCAGCCAGGGCTCGGGCCCGGGTTGCAGGCTTGATCCCCAGTGAAAGGCGTGCAGGAGGCAGCCGGTCCCTGACTCTCTCATCACTGATGTTGCTCTCTCCCTCTCCTCTCCTCGCTGAAATTGATAAAAATGTGTATTTTTTACAATAGAGCACCCAGACGGGGTGGAGACCGCCCCCCGCTCCCCGCCGTGGGCCCCCGGGCTCTCCGCAGTTGGGATGCTCGGTGTCTAGTTTCCAGTTACGTCAGCGCCACTTGGCGGAGCCTGGCACCTCCAGGGGCAGGAAGAGAGCCCCTGGCTTTTGCGTCTTCTCCCTGGAAATACTCAGTCAGGCCCTGGGAGCGCGGGCCGACACTGACCACCGAGCAGCTGGGCCTGGGCCAAGGGTCCTTCCTCCCGTTGTGCCAGATCTGAGTCCTGGGAATTCCGCCAGGCGGGTCTCAGGTGGAACAGCCCGTGGTGTCCCTGCGCCCGGCACACAGCGCCCGGCACACAGCGCCCGGCACACAGCGCCCGGCACACAGCCCCCGGCACACAGCCCCCGGCACACAGCCCCCGGCACAGATGCCAGGTGTGCGGTCTGAGGGTTTGGACACTCAGGCTCATATTCCTCATCCCTGCGAGTTCTGGTGCCGTGGCGCCCCCCCCCCCCCCACGCCCGCCTGCGGCAGGGCCCAGCCAGCCTGGAGCAGGCCCGCCGGGCGCAGGTGCCCGGGGAGGAGCGGCCTGACGCGCTGTCTGGCAGGTGTGCAGCGCGGTCCAGAACCAGGACTTCACGGTGATCCAGGACTACTGCTCCGGCCTGCGCGCCCTGCTCTACCTGGGGGCCGTGGAGGAGCTGCGGGACTGGGACGGCCAGAGCCCGGCCACCCCGCGCCAGCAGAAGGGGAAGCCGGTCCCTCGCATTGCCGACCTCGCGGGAAAGGTAGGTGCCCGCCTCTCCAGGCGGCCCCAGGCCTGTGCCCGCTCTGCCCCGTCAGGTCGCGGTTCCCTGGCACCGTCGTGGCCACAGAAAAGCCGGCGCCCGGGGGGTGTGGTTTCCACGGGAGAATCGTGCCGAAGCGGCCTGGTTTCAGCTCCGCGACGGTTCCCAGGCGTACGTTGTTGTGGTTAATCCTCACCCAAGGGCATTTTTTCCATTGGTTTCTAGAGAGAGAGTGGAAGGGAGGAGGAGGAGGAGAGAGACAGGCACAAGGATTGGGGAACCAGTAACCCAGGTGCTTGCCCTTGACTGGGAAATGAGCCCCAGACCTTTCTGTGTGTGGAGGCTGGTGCTCTAACCATGGAGCCACCGGGTAGGCCCCTGCTTATATTTTTCTAAAACCAATACAACGAGGTCCTATACGAGAGAAAGCCCGGGGTGTGTACCTGAGATGCCTCCAGTCCGCGCTGGCTGCGGAGTGGCTGCCAACCCCCGGGGGGTGGGTCTCTCCATTCTTCAAGGTCCCCTCCCCTCTCTGTTTGCCAGACAATCAGATCACTGGGGCCGGAGGCATGCTCCTGATGTGAATCCAGGCTTCCTGGGCCTAGGTGTAGGGGTGTGTGTGTGTGTGTGTGTGTGTGTGTGTACCAGCAGAGGAGAGGTGTCCATTAGCAATGCCTGCATGGCCTGGAGCAGCAGAGGTGTGGGGTCCATTAGCCATGCCTGCACGGGCCTGGGCACAGGAGCACGGGTTTCACAATGTGACTGCCACTTCCCGAGCGGATTCATCTGCTCTGGGCCCTGGGCAGCTGCTGACCCTGTGACCCGCAGCTGCCTCGTTGACTCGCTGTAACCGTGCGGCCTTGGCACTGCTCTGCAGCATCCCATCATGCTTTTCAAAACGATGATTCCCCCTTCCTCCTCGCTCATGGAATTGACATCTAATTGACAAGGCAAAGGGCATTATTTCCATTGTCATCCTCATAAAGGTGAGTGGTGGGGGGGGACCCATAATTCATTGCGCTTCATTCATCACATATACTGCTTTAATCAAAATGTGCCTTATTCATATTAATTCTGTACTTAGAACTTG